GTCCATTCATGATTGTCGATCAACCTCAGCATATTACTCATGCATGTTGGGAAATCTTGGCACGCGGAAAAGCAAAAAAAAAAAACAGCCTGTTATGGACCGGAGCAGTGTTGAAGCCGAGTTTCACTCCATCCTTGCGTATCCGTGATGCTCTCTAGTTATGCATCAAGCTCCATAAATTAATTATGCCGATCTCTACTCCTCTCTAGTTGTTTTATGATAATAAAGCCGGTATTTGCATCGCCCATAATCTTGTCCAGCATGATTGCACTAAGCATACAAAGATTGACTGACACTTCGTTAAGGAAAAGCTTGATTTAGGGGAGATTTATATTCCATTTGTTTTATCAAATGGTCAATTAGCAATGTTCTCACGGGAAATCTTCCCCGGCCATTGTTTGACGACTTCAAATCTGAGTTGAACATGATGGACATTCATGCTTCAACTTGAGGGGGGTATTAAAATTATTTACCTACTTAATGTTAGAGTTATTATTAGGCTTTATTTGTTTTCTTTATTTTGCTTCGTTTTCATATTTATGTATTACTAAATTTAAGTTTTTTCTTCTATGTGAGTCTTGTAATGTGTATTTATACACCTCTTTTCTATCAATAAAAGGTAGACTGCTCTATTCTCAAGGTTCACAGGCCACATAATAGTTTATATAGTCTTTCTTTTACTCTTTGCTCATTTAACAAACAGCAATGCTGATGTTTCTCTTGAGTAGTAGCGTTTCTAATGTAATGAGAAGGTAAATCTATGGGCTGCCTGGAATATTTCAATGGAAGCTAATATGTGTACATACACTTATTTGGTTACATTGGTCGTTGCAAATTTCTTCAACATATCTGCTTAGATTTCTATCATGTAGGTTTTTGATAGGAGTTTAACCCTCTTGAAAAGAAATATACACTTAATTAACATTTCTACCTCTACATCGTCAGGGTACAACAATAACAATAACAACAATAAACCTTTATTCCACTTAGTGGGTCGGCTACATTAATTCTTTATTTCAACCGTGTCCTGTTGAGTGTCATATTATAATAAATTAAGATCTTTTTTCATGCATTTCCAAGTCTTTTTAGATCTACTTCTATCATTCTTAACATAAGTCAAATTTAAAACATTTACTTTCCTAACTGGATAATCGGACAGTTGATGTTTAATGTGACCAAACCATCCAAGATGACTCTTTAATCTTGTCTTACACTGGAGCTGCACCAACTCTTTCATGGATATATTCGTTTCACATTTTGTCTCTAAGTGTAAAGCCAGTCATCCACCTAAGTATCCTTATCTTAACAATACTTAGTTTTATGCTTCTCCTTTATAGGCCAACATTATGCGCTTTAAAGCATTGCATGTCTCATCACCATCTTATAAAATTTTCCTTTTGAGTCTAAGCGGTATTTTTCTATCACTGAATAGGCTCGATGTATTCCTCCACTTCAACCATCCAATTTGAATTCTACTAGTAACATTTTTCACTTTGAACAATAGACCTGAGATATCTAAAACATTCACTCTTTTTAATGCTTTGATCACCCATTGTCACAACTCATCAACTAGATCTACTACTAAAATTATATTCCATATATTCAATTTTAGATCCACTCAAACGAAGGCATTAAGACTTGATAGTAGAACTCTATAATTTAAGATTTTTTTGAATTTTTTCCTTAGTCTTGTCGAGATGAAAAGCTTACACCAATATACATTCTCCTATAAATGTCCAGTAAGAGCATCCATAACTAAAACAAAAAGATATGTGCTTCAAGCTGTTCCCTTATGTAATATAATTGAAATAAGAAAATACTTGGTCAATCCTTCTTCTATTCGTACACAAGTAACAACTCTAGTATACATATCTTTAATGACTTGAATATAAGTCATATCAACACATTTTCTTTTCGAGAACTCTCCAAAGAACTTCTCTTGGAATGTTATCATAAGTTTTTTCTAAATCAACTAAATTCATATGTAGCGCCTCTTACTCCCTATGTACTTCTCTATCAAACCTCTCAATAAATGTATAGCTTCCATAGTAGACTTACTTGGCATAATTATGAGAAATCTTTTTTTCACGTCTTTACTTTTGTTCAATTACTCTCTCCCATAATTTTAATGTATTACACGTCAACTTAATTCCTCTATAATTTGCACACTCTTGTGCATCCCTCTATTCTTAAAAATGGTGATCAAAATAATCTTCCCCCATTCCTAAGACATTTTTATAGGTTTTAAAATAATATTAAAAATTTGGTAAACCAAGAAATTTTCTAATCTTCTAAATATTTTCACTCTTTTATTGGAGAATATCATGTTATACCGATTTTCACCCTTGATTTTCTTTAAAGCCTCATCAACTTCATTTTTACTAATATAATGATAAAAAAAAATTACTATTATTAACGATATCAAGATCATTAAAGTATATCATATTTTTAGAAACTTCATTGAAAATTTTATCAAAATATCTCACATATCTATGCTGAATATATTCGTTTAAGAAAAATAGTTTTTTGATTTTTATATTTATTATACTTTATTTGAATTAGATTTTTACTGTTCTTTTCCCTTTATTTGACTAGTTTGTACATATATATTTTACTTTCTTTATTATCTAATATATTATAAAGATAATTAAAAATAAAATTCTTAGCATCACAAGTTATTCTCTTAAACTGCTTACAAACTACATTATATTTTACCTAATTTTTTAAGCTTTTACATTTAAACTAATTTTTATAACATAACTTTTTGTATTTTGTCTTTTCTTGCACATTATTATTCCACCACTAATTATTTTTATTTATAAAAGATTTTCGTTTTAATTCTCCACGGACATCTTTTGTCACATTTTTAATAGTATATATTACTTTATCCTATATATTATTTGCTTCTTCATGAACCTCCCAAATTTTTAGGTCGTAAAGCTTACTCAAAAAAATAATTTTATTTAATTATTAAATGTTGCCATTTAATTATATGATAATATTTTATTATATTTTTTTATTTTTCAACTTTTTATTTTAAAATTCAAAACTAATAATCGATGTTGAGTACTTAAATTTTTACTTGTCATGACCTTATAATGTTTACATTCTCCATGATATCTTTTTTTATAAGAAAATAATCAGTCTGTGTTTGATTAAATTCATTCTTATAAGTGATTATATGTTCATCTCATTTTTTAAATGAAGCATTAATAATAACAAAATTTTAAGCTAAATCAAAATCAAATATGACTATATCATCTTCGTTAGTCACTCCAAAATATTAGCCACCATGAATATTTCTAAACTCTTTTACCACTTTACTAACATATCAATTTAAATCTTCTTCATTAAAAATTTTTTCTTTCATCAAGAGGTATCTTTTGTATTAATCCATCTAGATCATTATAAAATTTTTCTTTTGAACATATATCCAAACCTACTTTAGGAGCATAAATACCTATAACATTAAGAATCTTAGTATCAATAACAATCTTTAGAGATATAATTATATCTCTAATTCTATTAATTTTTATGACATTATTTTTCAAATTCTTATTTATAATTACAGTAATATCATTTCAATACGACTTTTACCTGAATACTGAAGTTTAAAACCTAAGCTATCAATCTTCTTAATATTTTATCTAAGCTATTTAATTTCTTGAATGCATAAGATATTTATCTTTCTATGAAACTTAATATGAAATTTACTAATGAGTATTATATTTCAAGATATTTTCCTAATATTAGTTTTATGGATCAGCTTCTTTGCCCGTATTTGTCTATAATGTGGGAACACTCGTTTATTTAAAACTGTACCCGGGCGCCGGTATAACAACGCTTGCACACTTTTTACTGTATTCAAATCATACAACACATTGCTTGCATGTGACGCTTTAGCATTCACTCAATAATTTTAGTGATTCATGTCATGATTTTTTTACGCAAATTTTATGCTGAATGCGGACTCTCGAACATAACCCTCCATTTTTCTGCATAGTCAGAGTAGTATGACTATATGAATTCGTGCATCCTTCATTCAATTTATTGTTGTTTAATTTACATGTTTATTTGGATTTGTCAAGTATCTCTCTATTTGGTGGTTCTTGTTTTGTTTTAAGTTCATTTTACTCCTATGAGAAAGGTTCTTTTACATTGCTAATTTATCAAGCTACTTGAAATGTGAGATAGTTATCAATATTGGCAAGGGAAGCATAATAGGCAATATCTTGCTGAAATTAGGTGTAAATGATTCTAGATTAGCTAAAGTCATGTCTAACTCGAGCTTGAATGACGAACTCGAGCTCGACTCGTAATGATGATAGCAAACTTGCAAACTCGAGCCGAAAATTAAATTGTTATGAGAGCTCACAAGAGAAGGCATCAATGGCTAAAGGAGTGTCACAAAAACTTGTCGGAGAAGGCATCGATGAGACCATTGATCAGCTAGTCGAGCCAGCTTGCTAATTGAAGAGCAAAATATAGACAAGTTTGAACTCAATCTTTTTTAACAAATGAGTTGGAGGTCGAGTTTGAGTTCAGAGCTCGTGGGTCGATATAAAGCTCTACCTCGAGCTTGAGTCAGCTTGCGTGCAAGCTCAACTCAGTTACACACCTATAACTGAACCGTTGCCAAGGAATCTAGTCCACACTTTCCTTGTGCTATTCTTTTACTTTCAAGATATTTTCATTCTCCGATCCTACAAAGTAGAACTAATTTTTATTCATAATAATTGAGAAAAGTGTCAAAATAATTCTCTTCTTTTTTCAGTGTTAAGAGCCTATAAAAATGTCAATTTTTGGTCCCTAGACATTTTTAATATAAGCTAAAATAATTTTCAAGAAGAACTATTTCCGCACAAATTTAAAGTGTCTAGATACTAAGTTGATACTTTTATACTCTGGGACTGAAATAGCCGCAAGCAAACGATCAATGGACTATTTCGGCACTCTACTCCATAATGATTCTCATAGCTGGTTGATCCCATTGCCTACAGGTTAAATTTTGTGAAGCTGGTTGATGCTTTTGATGAAGGGAAGATCTCACTGAAGCAATTCAAGTCAAAAGTGAAGAAACTGCACAGGGAACGAATCGGTGCTCCATATTACAGAGAACCTGGTGAATTTCCCAAGCTGGAGGAGCCTTTTTATGCAAATCCTCTTCCTGGTTGTATTTGCAAAAAGCCACGTATAAAATGAAGGAGCAGCAATTTGCAAAAAGCCACTGGTTCTTACTTCATTTTGCGTTGAGATACAAAGCACACAAAAGTATATAGAATTGAAAGCCATTTTTTACTGCAAGATAAGCAAATTATGGAGAGAAGAATTTGGGGTCTTGTCTCTGAAGAGAGACCCTGAAAAGCCTGTGCAATATTGAAAAAATTAATTGGAGAGCACTGGAATAGAAAGGCAAAAAATATGCAATATTGATTCTTTAAGGAACCGGAATTGTATTTGTTTTTTTTTATTATTTGTAATTGCAAATAATCTCATTACATGATATAAACCAAATGTTTAGGGATGAGTTTTTCCCATTTAGTACTCTCTCTCTCTCTCTCTCTCTCTCTCTAGTTATGATTAGCCATTTATAAACTTACGTATGAGATGCATTGGACTTTTCAAAGGATGATAAAGGGGTATTTTAAAATTATGTTAAAAAGTTGAGTGCTAGGTTTGTAAATATGGAAGTTTAGGTGTTAGCTTATTTGGTGCGGTGGCGTTTTGAAAACACACCTGGTCTTTTTGGGTAAACTGTGTTTTGGCAGCTTATGCGTTTTCAAAATATTGAAAACAACGATTGAAAACAACGTTTTCTTGAAAACAACGTTTTCACACCACACATGTCTAGGTGCGGTAATAGCTTTCTGGCTGCAGTCTGATTTTTCCAAAAAAAATAAAAATTTATAATAGCTACCGCGCCTAGATTATCAACATATTATTTTTAATTAGCTTATCAACATATTATTCAATAAGTTGCAGCCGCCCCAAACAGACCAAGAATTGTGTGGTATTTTGGTGTATTTTTTAATATATGTAGTCAACAAACTTGTTAAAAATCATCTTTCCTCTTGTTTTATAGTTATTTTGAAAATCTTTATTGCTGATAATGTGCAATCAAGTATATGAATTAGGTATGGTTAAATCATAAATTTAATCAAACTTATTGTCCGATAAATAAATAAATAAATAAATAAATAAATATATACAATCAATTTTGTTCTTTACCATGGATCAAACAAAAAATTATATATATAGAAGGCATTATTAAAAGAATTTGTTTTTTGGCATAGGATTTCATCCATTAAGCAGAATTTTGTAAATTTGAATTTAATCAGCATAAAATTGAATTTAATTTTATTATAATAAATTATATAACAATTTCTTTTAGAGTATAAAAAAATTATTTTATTATTAAATTTTAAACTTAAACACCAACAAAAAAAAATTCTTCTATAACAAACAGTACCAGTGGATTTCATTAAGAATAAATACATGATAAAATATTTGTTCCATAAAATGAATTTTAAAATGATGACAACATGAAGCGTAGCATAAAACTTTTAGCAAATAATGCTAATAAATAATCAGTCAATATTAGTTGGGGAAATGAATACATCAAATAGTATCAAATATTGAAAAATATGCTTCAATATAATGCATAATGCAGATGAGATAATGATCTGATGATTGGATATTTTCTCTCGCACTAAAACATCTAATGCTCTAATGCTAACCTACCCATGTATTGGGGCTAGGTGAGCTTCGAGCATATGACCTCTCGGTACGGGAGGAAATGTCCAACCACCAGACCATCATCTCATTCACTATTATGATACTCAAATTAAAAGATTTTAATATACTCTAAGAGATGCAATGAGCTTATGAGTTTAAAGTATTCTCAAGGCATACATCATATTTATAAATAAAGCCATAATAACGAAGCCTTTATAAGCGGGACCATATGGTGAATAGAAAAAAAAAAAGGTTCAAAATTTAAAATTTGAATTACCAACTTAACTTAAATATCATAATAATAATACAACAGTTTTTCTAATTTAATTTATAATATTTTAAATTAAGTCATTTAAGCATAGAATATTTAAAATAAAATTCTATGGGAGCCTATATTTTAAATCAAGACATTTAAACATAGATATGTAAATACATAGGATTTGAGGGGTACCTATGTAAATATTCCTCAGTAAATTCATTTCATTCAAGTATTATTTAATATTATATTGGTCATATTATATGGCTCTGTATTTTTAAATCAAGATGAATTTCTTCGTTGTTTGATTGAGGCGCTGCGTTCATCGACCGAAATAATCCCTTAAATCACACTTATTAGAAAAAGAGCATTTACATACATGCCACCCAATTCCTATGTATTTGCATGTCTAACCTGCAAGCTTTACGTTTTACATTTATACCACCCAAATCCTTCATGTTCCATCGGAAATAACTTGTAAAGAGTGAATGCCTCTTTTCATGCATAGGAAAGTTTAGGTGCAAGATATGTAAATACACAGGAATTGAGTGGTATGAATGTAAATCTTCCTATTATAAATTAATAAATTCTTAATTTAAGTTGGGATTTATTAAATCTTACTAAATATAAACATTCTACCAGACATTCGATAAGATTTAGTAGAAATTAGCAAGAAATAATATAACCAATTAGAAAACATAAAATTAAAACCCAAGTTAAGAAATCTACAAATAAGCATAAGAAGACAAGTAGGACAATAGCTTGGTGAGTCTAATAATCTAATAAAATAATGCATTGAAGGGTATTAATGAATTCCTAATGTTTAAATTGATTGCAAGCCACAATTTCATCATTATTGGACTTCTATTTCTAATCAAGTATAGAATGAACTATAAATTGAATATTGCATTTCTTTAGAAACTTAGCATTATGCATGCCATGTGAAGGGTTTCAAATACATAGACCACATTTGCATAATTTTGTTGGCCCATCTTTGGCATTATAACTACCATACAGATATCTCTATAAAAATTGTTAGAGCTGATATTCTGAATACGTCAACATTGTGTCTGATGCTAAGAATATCCTTGTGGAAGGAGATCCCATATTTTCTTTTTTGTGATTGATTAAAGAATATCAAACTGTCATATTATAGTCATGTTTTTATTGATAGAATTAAAATTATGGACTTCCCTAACAATTTTGATAACTAGATTGAAGTTTGAACCTCTCAGCCTTTTTTCTCTATCACCACACATTTTAAGAATTTTTATAGATGACTTTTCTAAAATTTGGGATTCTCAATTTCAAAATTTTATTCGACTTATATATGCAAATGACGTTCTAATTATTGGAAAATGCAACTTAAATTCTATCAAATGTCTCTTTGATGTCATCTGATTTTTTCACGAGGCTACTAATCTTTTTGCTAATCCCATGAAGTTGATTATTTCCTTCTCTAGAACATCATATGCTCATTTATGTCATCATACCATGTAAATTTCTCCCTTTTGATTTTCTTAACATTACTTTTAATCATGTTATATTGATTCTTCTAAAGTTATGGACCAAGTGTACATTGGTTAAGTAGATAGCAACAAAAATTATTCTCATTTATTGGTAGATTCTAATAGCTCAGATCAACCCATTGAAACCATCATTTTTATTGATTCATATGTATGTTATCCTTAAATTATTGAGAATGACACCCTCTTCTAATACTAATAAATTTTTACATTATAATGAGGCAAGAATGAAATTGCCACTATTTCAGAGAACACCAACACCACTACCGAGCCAAGGATTGTGGAGGAGTTGACCTTCCTAAATCAGACACCATAAATGTCATTTATAAATTCAACTCTGTTTGGAGGCATTATAATTCTAACACCTATTTCTACTCCTAGAATCTTAAATATTATGAATTTCTATAGAATAATACGAATCATTATGCCTTTATATTTTAGAGAGATTTAAAACAAGTGTCCATTAGATTCAAAAGTATTTCATCTTCAAGTTAACAAAAAGAGAAATTTACTCTTCTACTAAGTTTTTGGAAAGCTTGACAATCAAGTCATCTCTAGATTTTCTTTCACTATCTTTACTAAAGTTTTTATGTTGATTGACAATAATAAGTGGCATTTACACACTATCTACTATACCTTGGACTTCATAATACACCTATATACTCAACATATTTTCTTATGGTAGTGCAAAAGCATATGCACTAACTATCTTTCATACTCTTTCTCTTATGAATATCGTCCTAAAATTGATTGGTGCAATCTTGGTTGGTTTAGAGGTTGCTATACTAAATATGCTATTGTTGGTTGAAAAATCCTTCTTGGAGGCTTAGAAAAGATGCTCAATCTTCTAGAGGGTTGTATATTAACTCTAAATATGTGCTCTATTTTGCTCAACATGAAACTTATTCATTGCTCTTTTTTTAATGCCTGCTTCCATGTCACTTTTTAAGCAATGCATACTTGATAATTTCTTAGGTTTAATCTAGCACAAACATTATTGCAAGCAAACTTTTTCAATTAAACACTCATTAGAAAGTTTTTTTTCTTATTTTCAATCACATTAAAACTCACTATATTTATTTGAAAAATAAGTATAAAACTTTTAGCAATGTTAGGACCTCCATTGATATACTATTAACAAAGTTCATTTTGCTATTAGGCATAAACATAAGAAACAAAAAATTGAGGGCAAGCTTCATCTTATTATTAGTTGTTTATTTGTTCAAATGAATTTCCTCCACTTTGTTGCTACATATAATTCACTCAAAATTATCATTAATCATTATGCTAACTATGGGTTGGTTGGTGTTAAATTGAGCTTCTGAGAATATTTCTATTAGTGCGTATGTGGAATTTTGTCCTTTTATTTTTCTCATATTAATATAATGTTATATCTACACTTTTTCACCGGGTAAGTTGCTTGCTAATAATGTATGACTTTGTTTTCTCTCATTTGTTTCTCAGCTAGGTGGATCTCTGGTTTCGACTATTTTATTGGGATCCTTATAAGCTTATAGCTCTCTTTGAACTTTCTAGGTTATTGTCAGTTATTGGTATTTTATTAATTGTTAGACTACTGCACACTACTACAATATCATTTTAAAGCTCATGTCTACTATTATATATATA